ATTGTGGGCATAAAATGAATAAATTAAAAATGTTTAATGTAAATGTTTCACATGAAAAATGTAAAAATAAATTTGATAAAGTACAAATGAAAATATAGCATTTTAAAACTTCTGTAACCAGAAGCTGCTCTTCATTTCAGTGACACACAATAACAGTAACAACAGCTTTTTGACAAGTTTAAAATTTCTTTAAAATACGTTCAAAATGTTTAAAAATAAACTACAAAAATTCATTTAAAGTGAAAATTAAAATATAGTTGCATCTGCAATTGTATTTGTTAATGTTTTGAACTTTTAAAATATTGCATGGTAAAAACAGAAGCTGCTCTTCAAATTAGTGCTAAACTTTGGTGTTTTTTTGATGGGTTACCTTCATTTTTCTTCTACTTTTAATTTAAAATAAGTTTCCATTCTCGGCAGGTTTCTAAGGTTCTTCTTCTACATATTAAAAAAGTTGTTAAACATCTGAGTGGTGCACTACTGCTACTAGTGGTGAGAAAGTATATTCCACTTTATTCAAAATCAATGCGGACCCGCAGCCCTCTGCGGCCCAAAGTTAAAAACTGTTGTTCTTTTGAGGCCCTCAAGGTGGCGCTCTGGTTTAAAATGCTCAAATCTCCTTTTTCGTTTAAAACTCTTTCACAGATCCCAATTAGTTTGTGCTGCAAACGATAAAACTATTTACAAATGTTCATCCTCACTTTCAGGTCAAGCAGGACAACACCCCACCACTGTCTCTGTACGGCCAGCTGCTGTGGAGGGAATTCTTCTATACCGCAGCCACCAACAACTCCAGCTTTGACAAGATGGAGGGAAACCCTGTGTGTGTCCAGATCCCCTGGGACCGAAACCCTGAGGTGCTGGCCAAGTGGGCGGAGGGACGGACAGGTTTCCCATGGATCGACGCCATTATGACCCAGCTGAGGCAGGAGGGGTGGGTCCATCATTTGGCTCGGCACGCTGTGGCTTGTTTCCTCACCAGGGGGGACCTCTGGATCAGCTGGGAGGAAGGCATGAAGGTGAGAATTAATAAATCCCAGCAGGTGTTGTTGCTATGTCCTCCTGTTTCTTGTCTTTATGTTGAATTTTTTTGTGTGCAGGTTTTTGAAGAGTTGTTACTCGATGCAGACTGGAGTGTCGGTGCTGGCAGCTGGATGTGGCTCTCCTGCAGTTCATTTTTCCAGCAGTTTTTTCACTGCTACTGCCCTGTGGGCTTTGGCCGACGCACAGACCCCAGCGGCGACTACATACGGTCAGTCACTGCATGAATATGTTTCTTTTATAAGGCTAAGACTTTTCAGCTGTTTGTTTCTATGGAAAAATACAATCTCATGCAAGGGTGTAACTTTGTGAAGGACTGGTGTGGACATGTCCACACCATGTCCAGGCTAGCTGCCTGCTGTAAACAAGKTGGTGGTCAGAGCTACTGGAGCAGGTAAGGGTCTCATAACATCCAGTTCTTGGAAAAACTTTATTCTTTACAAAGGACCAAAAATAAGTCAAAATGTAGGACAGGACAGTTATTTTTCTTATGAAAAGTTAGCTTGTTGCTAGTTATCTATCAGCTAATGTTAGCAATCACTTACTGATGACATCTATTATTGAGTTATTTTTAATCAGTTAAACTGTATTTTAATGCTAAGATTGAGTCCAGGTCCACTCTGATGATATTTATTGATTCCCTGTTATAATTTACATTCATAAAGTCACTGATTATTTCTCTAATTTAATCTGCTAGCTTCAAAATTTACACGTTATTTACTTGACTTTTTAAAGCTGACTGAATAGCCTATATGCCATGGACATCCGGTCCAGCACTTGATGCCACTCCCAACATTTCTGGTTCGCGGTCAACACAGTGTTAGCGAGAGATTTTTTTCACCCGACAACAACTCTTAATGATCTCCACAGTACAGAATTAGCATATTAAATGTACCAACATTAACACAGGAGACGTACAGGTCCAGCCAAGTGGAAAAAAATCACTCCAAAGTGGTTTAAAGCCATAAAAACAAAGGAAAGACGTTCGTGTTTATGGTTCCAGAATTTAGCCTTTTTCGCTATTCCTTGGCTGCTTGTTCCGTGAATTTTTCACGTAGAGCTGTGACACTTATATTGTTRGAAAGAGCAGAGTCTGGGCTTTAAATTGATGGGCTACTTGTATGGTTTGGATCGTTTTCCCCGACGTTAGTGAATTGAAAACATGATTATCAGGCGGAGGTTCTGCGGCTCTGGGTGCTCGGGGCCGGGGGGGTGGCCTCATCGCTTGGCTTTAGTCTATGCTGTAATATACACTCTAGCAAGGTTTTACTTTTGCATAAAACTCATGACAAAGTTACCTAAAAACATTTCATACTCTGTATAACAAACGTGCGCGCACACACACCTACCTTTGTACCGGCTGCTGTTAGCTTCCTGCTAGCTGTCCTCCTCCATCTTGGCAGTAAAAGGGGATAAATGTACATCTCCTTTTTGTAACCTCCGTCTTCTCATTTCTGATGCTGGCTCTTGAATATCCTCAGGTTAGATGGAAATGCCGATTACAAACGCAAGCGAGAGCTTTTAAAGATAAGTTTTCCCTGTAATGCTATGATCCACTGCTGTCACCTCCTCCTCAAGAGGAAAATGGAGAAAAACGAACTACTCGATCGTACCTGCTGGTTAGTGGACACAACGGCACACAACGGAACTCACGTTTTATACCAGTAGCTCACAGATGCTTTAACTTTTGTGACTTTTTCACGGACTAATACTAGGAGCTAAAGCTAAAAACATAGGCAGTAAGCAGGGAGTGGAAGGGAGGAGCGTGGCAAGAAATTTACCGGAAATACATCATTAATGACCGTGGCAGATAGGCTATTCAGGTGGCAGTAAAAACATAATACTTAATCTATCTGTTGATGTAAGAGCTGGATACAGAGAGTCAGAGTCAGAGGCAGCAGGTAGGACAGAGTGTCTCAGGTAGGACAGAGTGTCTCAGGTAGGACAGAGTGTCTCAGGTAGGACAGAATATCTCAGGTAGGACAGAATGTCTCAGGTAGGACAGAATGTCTCAGGTAGGACAGGGTGTCTCAGGTAATGGGCTGGTGTGAAGGAAAAATTAAATGTTATTTTGAGTACAGCTGTGTGAACTTAATGTAATCAATTACTGATCTAAAGACATAATCTATAGCATGCTTAACAATTTATTTTGACCAGTATAAAAGTGATAGGTTTATTTAAATGTAACTTGTATTTGTAGGAAGTGGTAGAAATTGATTTTCATAATTGGGATTTTTCTGGTTAAATAAAGGGCAGTAAATAAATCTGTCAATCCATCCATCATTAGCTTTCTAATCAGTTCCAAACATCCACATATTGATCTTATGTAAAAACCTCCTCTAGCTTGTTTGGGATAAATTTGTCACATTAATTTAATTATTTGAGTCATAACTGAGTTTAAAAACAGGACGATGCACCAAGTTTAATGAAGAATCTGTCTCTAGTCATTAAATCAGGTGTTTATTTATGTAGGTAAAAATATCTTTAACAACCTGTTAAAATACATTAGAAATCAGGAAATAGGTTCTAATTTATTCAAAATTTTCTTGGGGAGGACCCCCCAGACCCCACTCCAGTGTGTCCTTCACACACATTAAAAGACTTCTTATGTGAGAGGATAAACCAACACACCTGTGCTCCACCTGTGTGTCTCTGTATGAAACTATGGCTGATTATCAAACTGTATTCTTGGTGAGTTTAAAGGTTGATACAGTACATGGTTGAATGAACGTGAACATAATCTCAGTTAATATGTTTTGAGCATTATTGCATCACAAACAGAAACATTTGGTGTTCAGTTTATGACGTGTGCAGACTGTTAAATTGAGCACAAACATGCTGAGTCTTGGTAGTTTGTGTTAATCAGGTGGTGGTGGCCTCAGATGGTATCATCCCGGCCTGGATTATTGTACCAGTCCACCCGTTTGTAACTACTGTGTTTTCAACTGTAGACAGCGTATGGCATTCATATTATGTTTAGGTTTTATTCTTAGCCACAACAGAAAAACATGGTCGCACAACTGTGGGTGTGTCAGACCCCATCCCCCCACGGTGCGTGCCCACCAACGTTCAGCATAAAGTTACTCCCCTGATATCATGATTCACTTATACCAGGGGTCTCCAACCTGCGGCTCTGGGGCCACATGTGGCTCTTTGGTCCCTCTGCAGCRTCTCTTTGAAGCTTTAACCAAAGCTAACATGAGATTATTATTTTTTTGTTAGCTTTAGCAGTTTTTCTGTCAATGTGTTAGCAAATATGTGACCAATTATAAAAAAAGAGTGAAACATGTTGATTACATCATGCTAGTAGCCTGTTAGCCACTTCAATAATCCAACCTCCAGCCTTAAAGTTTGATCTTTCTCTCAGCTCCATCAGTATTGCCTTTTAGAAGTAGACTAGATGATAAGAATGCAAATAAAACACTTGCATGTTTCAGTTGTAGTTTTAATAAATTTGGTTTACATACAGCATTTTTCTTGTTTGCATGAATGTTTTGTTTCTTTTGTTCTGAAGTGTAAAAATAATAATTACAAAAATTGCAATTCTCTATATATTTT